TCTTGTTCCTTAAACTAAAACCCCCCCGCCCCCCCTTCTCTTCTTAAAGAAGCTATTCCAACTCCTTGGTGACTTTAGAATCCAGACCTTTCCAAATTCAGAGACATGTGGATCTGCCTTGGTTCAGGAATGATATTATTCTTAGCTATACTTTAATGTATACCATGTTTTATCTAAAGGAAAGGGAACAGAGATATTCATTACTCATTTTAAAATGCTATGCAAAATTATAATACCAAAAGGTCAGATCAACCACACTTCTATTTGGAATAAGAGGAATTCTGTCTCCTTGTAATGCTGAAGTATTTTTATGTTTTAAAAAAATATTGCCACAATAAAATATCAAATTTCTTATATTTTTGAGATAGCATGGAAAAGGCACCTAATATCAGTCCGAGGAGTTTAAAACCTGACTAATTAGAACCTGAAGAAATCAAGCACAGAATTTGCCATTTGCATTCAAAATTGAGGGAGGAGACCACATGTAAGACAAGTTCATAAACAGGGTGAGCAACTGATTCCAAAGTTTTCAAAAAATTATTTTAGGCACCTGTCCATCAAGCTGCCAGCTTGTGCAATAGCAGTTAATTATACATTCAGTAAAAACTATGAATTAACTTTGTCTTAACCAAGGATAGTCAGGAATAACTTTTTTGGTGGTTTATATCAGCTTTTATCAGCTTGGCACCCTATAGATGTGTTGAGACTGCAATTCACAGAATTTTTAGAAACTAGGAATTCTGGAAGTTGCTGTCCAGCCCACATACTGAATGCAAGATTAAGGTAGGCTGTTTTAAAATATAAAGAATATTAAATCACTACTGGTTTCAGATTTTAAAAAATTGGAGTTAGTCTCAAAACAATGGGAAGATTCTAGGCTTGTCACTATTTTGAAAGCCAAGTATTAATTGGACCGAGTTGGGTATATAAGGAGCAACATAAAAGTAAGTTGAATACAGTGGGAATGGTTTACTTGAGAATTGTGCATGATAAAATAAAAGAGAGAGGATCAAGAATGAATGCAATGAGTTAATGTAGCATGAATACAAAACTGAGTTTGAAAGAAGTAAGTTGAGGTGGTTTGGTCATACAGAAAAAAGATCAAATTGCCAAACATATGAAGGAAGAGTGAATAGGTTGAGAGAAATGGGAAAGCTGAGAAAGCACCAGTTAGGTGGAATTTATCAGATCTTCAAAAGGAGTGGTGAGAAGTTTAGAGAACAGAAGGCAATGTATGAATCATTATGGTAGAAACAAGGATGTTTTGGGACATAGAAAGTATAGTGAATGGTTTTGATGTAAATTAGAAATTACATTTTTTCTTTTCTTGCATCTCATGCCTTTACTTTTTTGTGAACCATCCTTCTTAAACTTTCTGCACTTTGTATAATATTGCTCTCTCCTCTCTCTCTCTCTGTCTCTTTTTGATGATACCCCAAAGGGAACAGCAGGATTGGTATGTATGTACACTTGCAAATAATCCTCAGATAAAGCCTGAGGCGTGTTATTTTACTGATACAAGGCCAATTTCTTCTCAGAAATGGGAATATACATTAATACTATTTATTTCACTCAGGTTCCTTGGGTAATGCACCTCTTTTGGACCCTCTGCAACTTCCAACATTCCCAGCCCACTGATCTTTATCAGGTTACGGAAGGTGCTAAAAAAGTGATGGAACAAAAATTAATGTTCTTAATTCCTATGCTTCCTCTTTCCTTTATAAAACAATCTTGCACCTCTATTTTAAAGAATCATACAAACATAACAGGGGAAAAACTAATTTTATATAAAAACGATCATTTGTGGATGGGGTTGAAAAGGAAATAATGAAAACAGATATGAAAGTGTATATTCTTCAAAGAAAAAGGGAAAACTGGAGTAGAGCATATTAACCTTTGTTCAGGTTTGCCAATCTTTATTTATTTATTCATTTATTTATCTATTTATTTTTATTTATACTTCACATTTTATAGCCGCCCATCTCACAAAGCGACTCTGGGCAGTGTACAACAATTAAAATAACAAATGAATAAAAACAGGCATTATAAAAAGATAAAAAGTTATTATTAAAATAAAAACATCACAATTTTTAAAAAGATTTTTTAAAAGATTTTAAAATATACAAACCCCATGGAGAGAGCAGAGTATCAATTACAGTGGAGCCATCTAAGAATGTCTCTGGTTCCCAAAGACCCCCAGGCCTGAT